CCTAACTAGTCTCCATCGATTCATAAGAAGGTTAGATTAGGGGTACAACACCCTATGGTTGTTAATATTAGGGGAAATCAAATTACATAAGTGAATGAGTTAACCCTAGTCTAGTAGCTCCTCACAAGTGAAAGGCTAAGTTAGTTTATGAAGGATGTAGCCGCGTGATAGCCACCGGTGTCGTGTCAAAGGTAATAGGAGGATATAAGGCTGGCATATGATTATGTATATAATTCCAGCCACATGGTTGTTAGTTTTGTGGTCCGACACGTGTTAAGGGCACATGGTTTTTATTTTTGCAACCTTATGTTATGTTTTTGTGAAATAACATGTTATGGTGTTTTATGGCAAGCCCAGTCACATAGTTATTAGTTTTGTGAACCGTGGCCTAGTGCTATGTGAAATATGTGTTTATTTGCTTAATTGCATCTGTTTACAATTAATATATAACTGTAAGATTTAAGTGAAACTTGGTTATTGAGTAGTTATACTCACCCCTTAATTCTTAATATTTTCAAGACCTAGCTTATCAGTCCGAACTAGGAAAAACATATAGAGGCTTAGGATTGGTGGAGTAATCCTTTATATGCCTCTCTTTTGTTATTTACATATGTATTTGTTAATGTCTTTGACAACTAGGATTAATTGTCATGATTGGTGCACTACTTACATGATTTTGTATTCAACTAGTGTATTTTGTGCCCTGAGTTAGTGAGTTTTTACTGTGAACCCATGGATAGGGCCAAAATACTTGTGTAAGTAGAAACATATGTATTTTTGAAAAATATGAATGAAATAGTTGATTTTGTGCAATTTTTCCTCCCCCTCTATGTTTTGTGAAAATCGGGTTTGAGTAGTGATTTTGTAAAATAAGCATTATTGGTTGAGTGTGGTGTATTGCACAAATCCATAAGAGTCCATTGAGTGTGGGCGGATGGTTTGTGTGAGCTATTGGCACATGTGGTTGAGTTGGGACACTCCATTTGAGAGATTTTGTAAAAATATGGTAGAAATAGGGTTTTGGTGTCCAACTTCTTATAGAAAATGAGTTTAAATGTGATACTTATGCCATTAGCTAGAGCTAGGAGAAAGCTCTGTGTAGACATCGAAACCATCTCAATCGGACATTGGACGGAGATTTGGCACTTGTCGGAAGTTTGCTCCCTGTGCTATCAAATGACAGCACTGATCTCTCAAAATTCATGTAATGCACCACGGCGCATGGCATAAAGGAGACACGCCGTGGCGCATGAGCCGTAAGCCGCAACGCACATGTCATTTTTCTACACAGAAATAATTTTTGAGTTTTAAAACTCATTATTTAATTCTCAATTGATTTCCAAGCTTTTGTTTTTTTTTAACTCTAATTTATAGTCCTTAAATTATGTTTGAGATTTGAATTAGCAAATTGGGATTTCTATAAAATAATTTTGAGAAATTTTTTTTTTAAAACCTTAGATTACTATGATTTTAAATTAATTGTGGTTTAACCTCAAGGAGGTTATATATTGTAATTTTAATTTGGTATAGAAACACTTTCTTCTGTCCCAGTTAATTACAACTTGTTTGAAAAGTGGAAAAAAGATAAAGGAAAAACACAATCATTTGCTACTATAATTTATTATTGGATTTTGATTTTAGTTTATATATTTTTTTTTATTATTTTCAATCCTTATAGTCCTTCTAATTTAATGTTATTAGAGATCTAAGGAACAAACATAGCACAATCTTGCTAAAATTATAAAGACTAAAAATATTAAAAAAATTATATGGACTAAAATTAAAATTTGATAAAACTATAGCGACAAATGATTATATTTTTTTCAAAAAATAAAATCTCTCTCTCTCTAGCACTTCTCCCTCTCTCTTTCTCCTTCTCTCCAATCTCTTAGTAAGCTCTCACTAAAAGTGTAGAAAGTGATTTAAAAAAGAAACACTTTCAAGTGTTTTAAAAGAAACCACCAGCATGGATAATTAGTGTAGAAATTCTATATTTTCTACACCCTTATTTATATAATGAATTTAGAATCGATAAAAAAAATATTAATGTTAAGTCATGTAAAAGGTCATTTGTAGCAGTGAACGACTAACCCATTTCAATTATTATTAGAGATATTTTAATTGCAAATAAAGATAATCTTTTCAAAGCATCTCTTTTTTTTTTTTGTTGGGGGGGGGGAAGATTTTCAAAGCATTTCAACAATTTAAAGTTTTGAATTGTTATAAATGTTTTCACAATATTAATTAACATGCACACGCCATTTCTTTGATTAGCACGTGACATGTTAACTTCACGCGCTAGATAAAGATAATCTTTACAAAGCATTTCTTTTTCTTCTTCTTTTTTTTTGGGAGCAGATTTTTCAAAGCATTTCAACAATTTTTTTTTTTTTTTGGCCAACAAGCATTTCAACAGTTTTAAGTTTTTAATTGTTATAAATGTTTTAATGTTTACACACATGCACACACGCCCTTTCCTTGATTAGCGCGTGACGTGTTAACTTCACAATTTCTTAGCTCCAACCACTATTTTCCGCGTGGCCCCTCTTCTGCATTATTCCCTTATGGTTGACTGTTTCAAAGTAACGTTTATGATGATTTTACAATTACACGCATCCCAGAATATAATTATGATTTTTATAACAAATTTAACATTTCAAAATATATAAAAAATTGACAATAAAGTTTCTTTTACGAAAATATTATAATTTTTTTAAAATTTTTAAGAATTTTTCTATCAATCAAATTATTTTTAATTTAAATATTAATTTCTATTCACAAGTTTTGTTATAAAATTCACAACTTATTTTCTTAAAATTGTAAAAATTCAACAGTAATTTATAAATTTATATTTAAAATCTTAATGTTTCTTAAGTATTACAAATAATTAGAGCCAATAATTTAGGTCAAGCTCAACAGGCCAACCCGAACCTGCCTGAAAAATTTAGACCCAAGCTCAAATAAAATAATAACTTTTTATTATTCGAGCCTATTCAGAGTCCGACCCCAATAAACCCAAAAAAATTCAAGCCAAGCTCAATCGGATTCGGGCTTGGCCTAAATACCCGAATAGAAAAAATATATTTTTAAAAATATATATAATATAATAAATATTAATTATTTTTTAAGTTTTATATCATTTTATTTTAAAATACCATATATTTGAGTATATTACTATAGTTATTTTAAAAAAATAAAAATATTATATTTTTTTATTTTTATAATTTTTAATCAAATAAAATATCTCAAATTTAATTAATTAAATATATATTTTAATATTAATTTTTATACTTTAAGACTCAATCTTTTTAAGAAAAATTAAGGCATATAAACTATTTTCTTGTCCAAAAAATTATATTTTATATTTTTACAAAATAAAATAATTAATTTTAAATTAAAAATAATTTTAAAAATAAAATTTGGGCATTTACAAATTCCAGCTCTACTACTAAACAAACATAATAAATAAACTAATATTTTTAGATAATTATTTGATTATCATCTACGTTAGACTTAATTAAAAATTAAGAATGAACTAAAGTAAATACCCTTTATATATATAAGACTTAAACAATATAAAAAGTTAAAGAAAAAATTTAAAAAAATAATATTTTATCCATAATTAAATAATTTTATTTCATATAATATAATGATAGCTATTTTCTCATATTCTTAAAAATAAAAAATACAGTTTATCTAATAGTTGTTAAAAACTTTAAACTAATTAGGACAATAATTTTAAATTAGTGGTCTAACTGTAGTTGAATTAAAATTAACTTGATTATAATTAAAATAATATGATTAAATTAAAATATATAAATATTTTTATATAACTATGATAAGGGAAATATTTAAATAAATAAGACATCAATTTACAAGTAAAGGAAACATTCATGAATAAATTGCACATAATACAACAAAATAGTAACAGAGCTATTTAAGTACTTAACTATAAAGTTAATAAGTTATTATTTTTTTATTCCTTTTAAGTTAAAAAAATATTTTATGCTTAATAAAATTATTTAAAAATTAAAATTGATTAAAAAATAAAAAAATTAAAAAAATTTGGGTATTTGGGCCGATCCGAATAAGCCCAAAGCCTGAAGGTGTTAGGACCGGGCTTGGCTATATTGGCTTTTTAAAAAAAATATGATTCTTTAAGCCCGATCCGAATAAGTTCGGCCCGCCTGAATTATCAGCTCTACAAATAACAATTGTCATTCACAAATTTTGTTCTAAAATTCACTATTTTTCTTTTTAAAAATTGCAAGAATTTAACAACAATTCATAAGTTTGAATTAAGGACAATTTGATCATTTATGTTAATTTTTTAATGATAAAAAAATTTCTAAAGACTTCATGAAAATTGTGATATTTTGAGGGTCTAAACTGTTATTGTTAAAAAGATTTGATCTACTTTTCTGATAAAAATATGTTTCATTAATGATAATTTTTTAATATTATCTTTTTTATTATATTCTTTCTCTTTAAATGAAATATTAAATAAAGGGCAGTTTTAAATATTTATATTTTTATTTTAAAAAAATAAGGTTATAAAGTATACTTAATTAGCTTTATTTGTATGAGTAATTTTATCTAAAAATATTTTATAAATTGATAAGGAGTGAGTATGATTTATGTGATCAGATTTCATGCAAAATGCCAACCTATTCGGTATTTTTATTTTATTTTATTATGTTGGTCTAATATATAATCATTACTGTCTTACATGCATCATTGTTATTGATGTTGATTTACTGGAAATTAAAATCAAGTGAAAATATATAATTTCAAATTTAATTTAAAAATACATGAACTATAAATTAAATGAGAATATGAGAATTCATTTCAAACCATGGTATGTTTCTTAATCTAGAAGTTTTGTTTTTTGGCGCGTTTCTGACTATTTTATTATTTCACACGAACCTTACAAATAAATATCATTAAGAAATTATCAACAAAGATAGAATTATAAATAGCATAGCTTCCCCCATAAACCCTCCACACCCAAACCAGTAAACACATATCATCGTACTGAAGGCCCAAAGAAAACCAATCACATCTTATTCACAAACCACCATGTCTGACGGCCATCACCACCACCACCACCACAGTAACCACCGCCACAAAGAAAATCCGGCCGGCGAGATTGATTACAAAAAGGAAGAGAAACACCACAAGCATAAGGAACGTCTTGGAAAGCTAGGAGCTGTTACTGCTGGTGCCTTCGCTTTGGTAAATAGTACTGTATATATCTTTCAATACACATATTAATCTGCAATTAATAATCTTTGTTCATAATCATGTTTAATGATTTGAGGAAACGAATTAAACTATTTGTGCAGCATGAGAAGAAGAAGGCGAAGAAAGATCCAGAACATGCACACAGTCACAAGATAAAGGAGGAGATCGCAGCAGCTGTTGCTGTTGGAGCTGGTGGATATGCCGTTCACGAGCATCACAAGAAGAAAGAAGCAAAGAAGAAATATGAAGAGGCTCATGGAAAGAAGCATCATCACTTCTTTCATTGATTTTATTAACTTATCATGAATATATAAATATATATATGGATTTGGGGATCTCAACGTATACTTCTCTCTTGATTTATTATACATGCTCTCCTGGTTATTACAGTACTCTGTGTTTCTACACAAAGTAACCTTGCACAATATTACGAGAGGACACGTGACAGAACAAATGAGGAGAGAAGCTGAATTCAGATTTGGATTTGTAATAATATTGTTTGTGATTTACTTTTGAAATATTGATTGGTGTTATTTATATGCTTCGTTTGTGTAGTATAGGAATTTAATTAATAATATATGTGATTTATCATTTATTTGTGTTCCTTTATATATATATATATATATATGAAATACATATTTCTGTCTCTATTCGACAACTCTTTTCTAGCATTGTTCTAGTACATGATGCTATCTATATATATTTGATATAGACGGTTTAGAATTTACATATAGTTAAATAAATTATGCATTTAATTAAAACATTTAAGAAATAAGACATATAAACTGACAATGAATATATATATATATATATATATATATATATATTATTTGTAAAATTATTTGTGCTCTAAGATGCACATACCCGAATCTCTGTACAAATTCTGTAAGATACAGGTAATTCCACTCTATTTACAATGTCAAAATGTTTAAAGGTTGTAAAAAAAAATTTACATCTAATTAATTTTAACTACTCTTCTTAATAGGAAAGTTATTAGTATGGTATATCATAAGAAAGAAGCCCAAGAAGAAGACCAAAATGAAGCTCACGGAAACACTGCCAAAAAAAAAAAAAGATATTTAGAAATCTCTCTCATGTGTGCTTGTGGCATTTGGTTTCGGTGCTCATGCGTGGTGCTCATCACCAAAATACCACCTTTTTGCAGTGTTAGCTTTCTTTTGCTTTTTTTTTTAAACCACACATAATTAATAAATATTATAAAATTATTATTTTAATATTTAATAAATAAATAAATTTAACTTATTAAAATTTGATCTAAACAGTTCAAAAATATACTAAAAAATTAAAATTGTAACTTTTTTTTTTGCACAATTATCCATCTATGAGAGATAATATCATTCAAAGTATAGTCAGGTATTAGATATAAGTACTTCTCTTAATAAGAATTTAAATATTGATTTGTTGCATGGTAAAAAATTAGCTCATTTGGCTAGACCCAACCTCTATTTTAAATTTTTCAGGTTATTTTTTTTATTATAATTCTGAACTGTACAAACCAAAATTTATATATGAATTGTTCAAGTCAAATTTTAATAAGTTAAATTTATTTATTTATTCAATATTAAAATAATAATTTTATAATATTTATTTATTATAATAATATAATTTTGTGATTAAAGAAAAGAAAAGAAAAAAGCTAACAATGCAAACAGCGAAACCGAATCGGTGTGTGTATTGCCTCTGTAATTTCTTACTTAAACAAAACTGGGGTGGTTATATGAATAATCCATGGTTTTCACTTATAAATCTTCATTTGCTTCAACACTAAGATATTGCCTCCAGTTGCCAATATTTTTTATCCTGCTGATTTTGTTTTTATCTTTATTTTGTAACCTTTTTATTTGTTTTCTTAATTACCATCAAAGGACATCATCAAAAAAATAAAATAAAATAAGATGGTGACACTAATTACTCAGAGAAACTGTTTTAAACAACGTTATTTTAGCAGACAGTTTCAGATTTTCACATTGCAAGTTTATTAATATTACTGTTGGCTCTTATATATAATATAATGACTTACCTATTATATTGTAATTGTAAGTAAATTAATTTGCAAACCATGCTAATTTGGCGGAAAAAAAAAAAAAGGCTTATCTTTTACTTACTAAAGCAAAGAAGCAAACACTGAGAAATAAGAACCGAACCAAACCCGGACGATTTAATGATCAAATCATCAAAGTATCAAACTAACAAAAACAGAAAATGCAAAAGGACCATATTTAATTTTTTTTTGTTTGAAATAGTGAAACTTTATTATTGACGAAATATAGGAAACATATTAAGAAGTTGTATTGTTAATAACTACTGAAGACGGCTCAGGCGAATGTATCCCTGGCTCGTCTTCGTCTCCGCCGTCACAATATCCCAACAGGACTTCAGCCTCTTGCACAGTAAACCCTAGCGAGCCGAGCATCGCCGGCCAACAGTCGTGACCCACCACCCTTATCGCCCGGCAGCAGCCTGGACCCAAGTGCGTTTCGCCACTCAGAAAGAATGATATAACCTCGCCGGCGCATGCCTGTAGCTGGAACAACGAGTCCCAGCACTTGTTTGGTTCCCCGCCGGCAGCCGCGTCCCCGCCAGCTACTTTCAACCGAGCCGCAAGCATCTTGCCGAGATGGCTCGGTGGCCGTGACCGTACAGCAATGGTAGTACTCGAAGCTAGAGACAGAACAGAAAGGAGGAGCATGAAAGTGAAGAGCTTGTAAGAGGACGAAGCCATTGATATTAGGGTTATCACAGAGAGAGAGAGAGAGAGAGAGAGACTAGATAGTGTGTCTCAATAGCTTTCAGGGGATGTAGCTTCGTAGGATTTTTATATATAGCATGATGGTGACGATGTATAAATGTTTGGTGAATGATGGGAAGGTTGAAGAGACATGAAACGGATGTATAAATGGGCAATGAATGAAATGGTGTGCATTATTATTTTTTTAAGTAACGCATAATAACAAGTGTTTTTAAATAATTACAATTTCCGCTAATTAATTGCTGTGCAGTAGGACTTTAATGTTGAGATTTGAGACTACTGGAATTCCTGCAACTGAATCCTATATTTTACTTCCAGGTTTGTTTCGTCTTCACCTATATATTTATATATATATATATATATATATACTGATAAAAAGGAAGACACGTCTTCACAGCTTCACTTATCTATAAGCGTATATTTAAAAAATATATATATGTATGTATATGCCCTAGCTATATATTCCCTCATGTTGTAAATTTAAAAGTTTTTTAACATAAGAGCATTTTTATCTTAATACTTCCTCTGTTTTTCTTTATAAGAAAAAAAAAACTGTATCACACAGTTTAAAAAAATAAGTTAACTATATTAATTGTATTTAAAAATAAAAAAATTGGACAACAATATCCTTTATTAATTGTATTAACAAGCCTTCATTAGTTGCTTCTTGTGACTGAAAATAATGAAATTCTAAGGGATAATTTAGGAAATGTGTAATAAATATTTATTAAAAAATTTAATTTTGTTTATATAAAAAATAAATTAAAAGTAAAAGTTTCTCTTATAAATAAAAATGAAAGAAATATAGGAGTATAAGACGATGTTAGAGTAATTAACTTTTTTTAATTTTATCCCTTATTTATTTATTATGGTTTGAATTCCTATAAAACAATTTATTTTGATTATTGATAGCAAAAAAATTGATAAAATTATAAAGCTGTGTACTTTTTCAACAATTTTTAGGATATACTTTGTAATTTTTAATAAGCATGGTTAAATTTGCCTTCTTATGTTAAGGATATAATAGGAAGTAACGCGTAAGTCTTTTCTTTTTGGCCTCGTGATACTTTATAAAAAAAATAATAATAAAATCTCTTTAAATTATATAAATATTATTTTGGTCTCTTGAAATACCATAATACGCCTGAAGTCTTTAAAAAATTTTCTATCATTAAGAAATTAATATAAATGATTAAATTATCCTTAATTCAAACTTGTAAATTACTGTTGAATTTTTTTAATTTCAATAAGAAAAGTTGTGAATCTTAAAACAAAATTTGTGAATGGCAATTGATATTTGCAACACTTGAGAAATATCAAAAGATTTTAAATACAAAATTGTGAATTGCTATTAAATTCTTGCGATTTTAAAAAGAAAAGTTGTAAATCTTAGAACAAAACTTATAAATGATAATTAATATTTAAATTAGGGCAATTTGATTATGTACACTGATTCTTTAATGATAGCAAAGTTTCTGGGAACTTTAAAAAAATTATGACATTTTAAGATATTAAAATGTCATTTAAACAATTCAAGGGATTCTATTATCATTTTCCTACTTTATAAAAGTTTGTACAATTTTGCAACGCAAAATTAATGAACAAATATTGGGATATTTTTGCTAATGGGCTGGATTTTCTAGGGAGGACAAGATGAACAGTGACAAACTTAATATCTATGGAATTTATGCCCACAGGTCTGCCATGTTGCTAATAAGAAAGTTAACTATTCGTGACAGACATACATAGAAGTTTTAGGACAGCGTGGTTTTTAATTTCAATAATCATGTTTAAAAATTTAAAAAAATAATTGTGATCTCAAGGGAAAGAGTTATAAATTCACTTTATTATTTTTTGAGTGAAATATAATTCACGTTTCATTATATATATGAATACAATTGGTTCTTACAAATGTTAATTGGCTGGGTTTTCAAGAAGAAGAAAAACATCTGAAGGGGCCAGAAAGCCCACTGACAGACTTAACAGTCAAGCCCGGGATTGAAAAAAACAAAAAACTTCAGTCAATCAAATTTGTCTCAATTTTTAATTTAGTCATTTAAATTTAATTTTTATCACGTTAGTCCTTTTCACTATTTTAAATAAATCATCATATTATTTTTTTTAAGATTTAAAGCACAAATTAACAATTAAATTAATATAACATGTAAAGTATATTAATGACTTAATATGTATATGTCCTTAAATGTGAACAAACTAGCTTTCAAATCAATTTAATTTTCATCAATATAATTCATTAAGCTAGATTTTATTTTTTTAAATTTTTGTCTCTGTTCCTTTCATACTAAATAGTTACACTTCTATTCATTAATTGACATAATTGTCATTAATATTCTATAATTTGTATCAACAGTGTTACCTCATCTTTAAATAACAAAAATAAAATCAATAATAAAAATAGATTTAAGGGATCAAATTAATAAAAATTAAATTTGAGGAATTAAATTGATAATTGAGACAAACTTAAGAGACTTTAAGTTGCATTATCCCTTTATTTTGTACCAAATAAAATTAATTAATTAATGTATAAAACATACAAATTTTTAGTAGACTTTTCTATCACAATCATTTTGTTATTGCAAGCTCTCATAATCATTTTAGAAGCGAGAATAGCAATTTAGAGGTAAAAATTCTGTGTTCTTTGTTCTTCCTTGCATTTGTATGTTCTTTCACATGCGACTGCCTTTATTTTTTCTATCAAGAATAAAAAGGTAATGTCAATGATACAAAATAAATAGGAATAAAAGTATCCAATATTGTCCATTCTACAATGTTTCGATCACATTTCAAAAAGGCTTTTCTTCAAGAGCGAAATCTTGCTTCTCACAAAAATTATCTCGACTTTTATGTAAAAGGAATTTTTAGGTGGACAAATGCAATAACTAAATAACTAAACACACTGAATTTCAATAGAAACTCCAAAGACTTTTAATTTGTGTGTGTTTGTGGGGGGGGGGAGATAAGATAATTGAATATATATCTTTAATTTCATGCATATTTTTAGTTATTGAACTTATTTTTCAATATTTTGACATAATTTTAACCACGTTAAAGCATGTGGAAACGTTGAAGGAATAATACAAAAAAGTTGCATATGAAACCCAATAAAATGTATGGAGAAAATTTTAAAGAGTGAAAAAACTGATGAAGTTCAACATGAATCACATTAATTTTAGTTTATAATTAGCGTTGCTTCCAAAAAGTTTAATTTATTAACATTTGAAAAATAAATATAATTTGGAACGATAAACCGATCAACGAAGTGGCTGTAGTTTAGTGGTAAGAATTCCACGTTGTGGCCGTGGAGACCTGGGCTCGAATCCCAGCAGCCACACTATTTTTATGTAGTTTTTTGATTATTTTTTTACAATAAATGATGTAAAATACTTAAATTCATTTCACAATCACATGATAATTTATTATGAAAATCAGATCTGTCACAATGTATTAAATAATTCTATTTTTATTTTGCGTTGATTAAAAATTTTAATAATAAAATAATTACACATTAACTTTTATCTTGATAAAATAAGTATCTAATTTAATACAACAATAAATCCAAATGATTATACCAAAAGGACGTGTTTATATCGTTTCAACTTGGTTTAGTTGATGTTGACTTTTGTGGAGTAGGTTCAAAACTCTGCATTTCTTGTAAACTCAAATATTAGCTTCGACCATGGCAATGTCTAATTTATGGAAACAATTAAACATATAAAGTCTGCTTTGACAGTGATCATTACTTATTAGTAACTTCTTTCGTTGGTATGTCTCCATTAGTGCAATACAAGTTTATTGAAATAAGTCAAAGCCTCTTAAAAAGAAGACATCGTTAGGTAGATGAGATAAGTATTAGAAGTTGCGTATAAGTAATTGTTAAAATAAATAAATTTATCCTTCAAAACTATATGTATTGATTTTTTTTTTAGTATATTCGACAATTGTAAATTTTCGGGATTCAAAAAATTAAAATATCCCCATTTTTGGGTAGGGGAAAAAAATGAAAACTTTACTTGGTTCTTGTATATCTGGTCCCAAAAAATTTTAGAAATAATGTAACTTTTAATCCCTCATCTCAATTATTAATTTGGTCCCTCATGTTTAATTTTTATCAATATAATCTCTTAAATTTACTTTGCTTATTGATTTGATCCTCATTGTTTAAAAAGGAAGTTACACTATTAAAATTTGTTAACATAAATAACAAAACAAAACATTAATAGCAGCCATATAGATTAATAAAAAAAAAGAATAATTATTTAGATAAGAAAAAATAGACTATGAAATTTGAAGAAATAAAAGAACAAAACATAATGTAAGGGATTACATTGATAAAATTAAATTAATTTGAGGGTCAATTTATTATCATTTAACTATAAATACATGTCAAGTCACCAATATAATTTATACATTAAATTATTTTAAGAGTTAATTTATATTTTAAAATTTAAAAGACTTGCATAATAGTTTTATATATATATAAGGGATCAGATTAATAAAAATTAAACTTAAAAGATTAAATCAATAATTAAAATAAATTTGAAGAATTAAAAGTTGTAGTACTCTAAATTTTATGATGCATGGATATGAGATGATAAAAACGATAATAATCTGCCACATGGGAATGAAATTTAGTTAGAATGGACCTATTTTTTTACTCTATATATCTCCAAAAAATTAATCTCTACGCTATATGGGTCTTGTAAAGAAATAATAACATGCTTTTGTGATGTTTTTAGATAATTTGAACTTGTATAGTCCATATAATTTATTAATGTGGCAAATAAATTTATGATTAAGATAATAAAACTTTTAATCCCATAAATTTACCTTAATTATTTATTTGATCACTGAAAATTAATCCTTTTTAATCATGTCGATGCCTAAAGTTTCATAATCATAAACAGTCATTCCCTATAAATTGAAAGGAACGTTGGGTGAGTCACAAAAAGGGT